CCTGCGCTCAGTAGGCGCTTAATAAGCAGCTTGCTCGACGGGATTAGTCGGTTTGATTGATTTATAATAGCCTCTTCCTGGGAACCGCCGGGACGAGGTTGGAATCCACCCCCCGCCTCCAGTGAGCCCTTTAGTCTTGGGTAAATCATTCCTGAGATCCGAGCCTCATTTTCCTCATCTGCAAAATAGGTAGACTGAGCCTTACCTCCCAGGGTTGCATGGAGTTTTGAATATTTTGGTCACTGCTCTGTACCCCAGTGCCTAGTAAGTGCCCAATATTTGTTACCTGAGTGTACAGATATTTATTAAATTCCTCTAATTGCTAGGCATCTTTCTAAGTCGCTGGGGAAAGAGCAGCGAACAAGGTAGAACCTCAAGTTTCTACCTTGAGGTTCTGTGCCATGTGAGACAAGTCATGTGGGTCACCTTGGGCAAGTCAATCGCGTGTGTCCATTGGTCATCTGCAAGATGGGAAGAACCGTAGTTGCAAGGTTCACTGAGGTTATACACTTAAAGCCCTTAGAACTGGACAGGGCCTTGCACACAATAAATAGGTATTAAAGACACAGGATAGCTTTTGACAATAAGTGTGATGGAGAAGAATGAGCTAAAGAGTGCCTGGGGGTTGGGGACAGGCCACTTCTGATAGTGTGGTCACTTAAAGACTTATTTTTTTTACATGTAAAATTTCAAAGGTATGTATAAATTGCAAGAATAGTGAAGAATTCTCATACATTTCAACCAGAATAACAAATTGTTATATTTTGCTGCATTTTTAATATCATGTTCTCTCTTGTGTGTATGTGTATAAAACATGAATTTTGTTTATTCCTAAATCATTTTAGAGTAAGTTTCAGACATCATGTCCCATTATCACTCTGTGTATACTTCCTGGGAACAAGGACATTCTCTTGCATAATCTCAGTACAATTATCAAAATCAGGGATTTTAATAATGATGTGATTCTTTTACTTAATACACTTTCTACATTTAAATTTGCTAATTGCCCCAATAATGTCCTTTAAGGTATTCCCAAGGATTGATCTAATTAAGGATTGCTTGTTGCATTTAGTTGTCATGTCTCTTTAGTTTCCTTTAATCTGGAAAGGCAGTTAGTTACTTGGCCCTTCTTTGTCTTTCATGACCGTGACATATTTGAAGAGTACTGGAGAGTTATTTTGTAGATGTCCCTGAATTTGGATTTGGCTGGTATTTTCTCATGATTAGATTCAGGTTACGCATTTTATCAGGAGTACCACAGAAAGTTGTGCTCTCAGTGTATTACAGTGGGAGGCACATGACATTGGTTTGTCCCAATATTAGTGATATTAACTTTGATCATTTGATTAAGGTGGTGCCTGTCAAAGTACTCCACAGAAGAGTTAACTATTTTTCCCTTTGTAACTTTTGGGCATCTTATGGGAAGATATTCTGAGACTATCCTGTTCTTCACTGGACTTTTACCCATTGATTTTAGCATTCACTGATGATTCTTATCTGAATCTATCATTACTGTTGTTGCAAAATGGTGATTGAAAGACCTCTGTATTAATCTGCCAGGTCTGCACACAACAAAATACTACAGACTGGTGGCTTAACAGAAATTTGTTTTCTCACCGTTCCGGGGCGGTAGAAGTTCAAGATCAAAGTGTTGGTAGGTTGGGTTTCTCCTGAGACTTCTCTCCTTGGCTTACAGATTGCGTGCCTTCTGATGTGTCTTCACAAGACCTTTCCTGGGATATCTTTTCCTCTAGAACAAGTGGGAAGTCCAGCCCGAGAGCCATATATGGCCCGAGAAATCATTTGGTCCAGCCCTGCCAAGGCAACTGCAGGTGGGACTCGAAATTCAATAAATCTAGGAGCTTTTGTCATAGCTGATTTTTAAGTTGATAATTTTGTATGGCCCTCGAACAATATTATAAATATCCAAATGGCCCTTGGCAGAAAAAAGGTTCCCCACCCCCGCTCTAGAAGGACACGTTATATTGGATTAGGGCCTCACCCTAATGGGCTCAGTTTAATTTAATCTCTTTACTGACCTTATCTTCAAATATGTTACCTGCTAAGGTCCTGGGGGGATGTGAATTCAACATGCAAATTTGGGTAGGGGTGAGGTTGGGGGGAGACACAATTCAGTCTATAGCAGTCTCTTTGGAATATGACCTGTGAGACCTGAAGCCAGCCATGCTAAAACTAGTGGAAAGGCATTTAAGGAAGAGCAAACTAGTGCAGAAGCCACAAGACAGGAACAGGATGGATGTTAAACTTCAGCCAATTGGTGAGACCTTCAAATTGTACAATCACTTTCAGGAAAAGAATTTGGCAGTTTTTGTACATCTACCCTATGGCCCAGCAATTCCATGCTCAAATGAAATGAAAACTTACGTTTGCAAATACATTTGCATAAGAACGTGTATAGCACTTTTCCCGAAAGAGTCCCAAACTGGAAACACTCCAATGTTTATCAAGAACTGAAAGGATAACCAGGCTGTGGTATTTCTATACCATGAAATGCTGCTTAGGGGGAGAAAAGGAATGAAGTATTGATACAACAACGTGGATGCCTCAAAATAAT